ATCACTTTACTTGTCATGGAATTTCATGTCTTATCTCATTTCATCACGTTTCACATTCTCATAGTCATAGTGCTCACAATAGCACGTCATTCACATCATGTCTCATGTCATTTTATCTCATAATATCATATCACAGATCATATGTTCACTTTTCACATTTTCTCATCATATCTACATAGCCTCATACAAGGAACTTCTCATAGTCATATATAAAACAACACATAACCATACCCAGAAATTATCCAAAACATGAATCCATCATCAATTTTACATAAAATGCCTCAGAATTCATCCAAAGATCATCATATCCCTAATTTTACTTCATAGGATTTCCCACAAGAACCCACAGAGCACTTTAATTCATATCAAAACTTATGTATTTTCAAAATTAATCACATATTCATACATCACATCCAACAAGGAACATAACAAAACAATCAGAAAGCAAAACAGAAAACTTTCATAAAGTGTCTGTTCCTATAGGCATACATCAGGCAAAGGATTGGAGGCCAATCTTGTTACCCAACAATTATTCCCACACCCCCGAGCGAGGTTTCTCACTCCCCCCTTACCTAGACAAGCAGAAGACAAGGCTAGAGCAAAATCTGGTTGATCTCCTTCTCTTGGTTCTCCTTGGTCTTTAGAGAGTGTGTCTAGGAGCAGTGCTAGAGTATGTTATTTATAGATGTTAGAAGTGGCCAGAATAACCCATTTCGGATCTAGAACGGCCCGTTCTGGATTCATTCGTCATGTGTTAAATTTGCATCTGGAACGCCCCATTCTTAAACTAGAATGGCCTGTTCTAGAGTTGAGTTTAACTCATAACGGCCATGTTTGGGACGACTCGTTCTTAAACCAGAACGGATTTTCTCATCATATCTACATAGCCTCATACAAGGAACTTCTCATAGTCATATATAAAACAACACATAACCATACCCAGAAATTATCCAAAACATGAATCCATCATCAATTTTACATAAAATGCCTCAGAATTCATCCAAAGATCATCATATCCCTAATTTTACTTCATAGGATTTCCCACAAGAACCCACAGAGCACTTTAATTCATATCAAAACTTTTTAAAGAAGACCTTTATATTTATAACTTCTTGACATTTATACTTCTTCATCTCCTATATGTAACGACCCGCCATGGTCTCTACACTTAGTGGAATCGCACTACTACTAATGAACTAAGAAATATTAAGCTGAATAACTCATACATACTTGAGGTGCTTCTCTCGGCCTCTTGCCAGGCCGAAGGTATCCTTCGGTCCAGGATCCGGCCGAGGGGGGTGTTTACTAGTACATATTTAATGTAGAACTTTTGATTAGATGGAACAAATTCAATGTCAGAATTTTCTGTCCCTGTATGCTCGTACTTAATATAAAGTCCACCACTTTTTTGTGTGAAAATAAAGGTCCTCTATTTATCACACTCGAATTTGATTTATATATTGCTGTTTCCTTTATTCAATGTAAGTTGCATGATCTGATCATCTCTGGAAAATTCTTTTATTGATAGTTTGATACATTCAAAGCTAGCAGTCGCAGACTCGCAGGAAGTATAGAATGGCAGTATTGCTTGTGATGAGAGCAAGAGTTAAGTGTAATTGGGGAATTTGAAAGCTTTGAGTAGGGAACATCCTACTGAACTCGTTAGAGGGGAAAATTGAATAGAAAAGGACAAATGTGTGTCTCACTTTCAAAATGAGTCCTGATAGAGGTCCCTCCCTGCTTCCACGAAACATTAAAGGAGAAGGAGATTTCAAATTTTTAACCACACCATTGCATAAATTGCCCAGGAGATTCAACCTGAAAATGATATATATGTTCATAGCCCCATCACTCATGTATAGCATGAGATGAGATTGTACTAAAGAATAATGCATATGCATTTATTGCTTGGACGCTTGGTAGATCAATTTATTCTTACAGTACTTACTTCCTTTTTTCTCGTTTTAAGATTTTGACAGCAAGGTCCTAAGTTGCATGATCTGATCATCTCTGGAAAATTCTTTTATTGATAGTTTGATACATTCAAAGCTAGCAGTCGCAGACTCGCAGGAAGTATAGAATGGCAGTATTGCTTGTGATGAGAGCAAGAGGTAAGTGTCTGTACCAGCTTCTCCATGACCGATTTAAGACGATGAGATAGAATTTTAGGATACGTTGCATAATCCTATAGGTCTCATATGCTTCAGGTGTGTGACATTCTCGGTTTTTGGAATTAGCGCAATTAGCGTTGAATTGACTTCAACAACTAAAGAAGGATTGTCTTCAATGTCGTGAATAAGTTTGCAAACAGCAGGGCCAACCGTATCCCATTGAGATTGAAAAAAGATCGCTTGAAGGCCGTCAGGCCCAGGGGCTTTAAAACCTCTCATCTGTTTAACTGCCTGTAGAATTTCTGTATCACATATTGGTCTTCCGCGACAGAGATCACCCCAGAGAGCCATACGACCTTGGGGATGGGGACTGGCATACACAAACGTAAAAAACCAGGGTGGAGACCCATTAAGAATCTTGAGATGAATATATTGAAAGTTATGTTCCAGGACTTCAATTTGCCATACCTGGGAATTCCACATGCACCATATTCCACCAGCATGACCATTTGCATGCACCAAAAAGGATTTGTCTAAAGAGACCTTATGTGTCACGTGAAGAGCTCGGTTACCGCTAATATGAGTTTCCAAGAGACATAGAACTCCAATATCATGTTCTTTAATCATATCATTTATTAAGGCTGAAAATCCTCCGCTTCCAGCACCCCTACAATTCCAAGATAATACATTCATTGGAAACATTAATGTAGGGTGGCCTCTGAAGACCCTGGTTTTGCAACGTGTTCTGCAGGCACATCAGAGGACTGAGGATCAATGGTATTAAAGTGCCTTCGTAAGGCTGCTGCCATTGCCTGCGTTTCTTCATCTGGTTGCACGACTTTGGTCATTGCAGCGTCCAGAAGCCAATTGGAATCTCTCCTATTGTTCATAGAGTGAATATTCCCAAGCACCAATTTCGAGTTATTCTGCTGATCCATGATCGACGTGGCTAGCACTGCAGGTCTTGTTGTATCATATATGGAGCTTGTCATCTTAGTTGGCGTATTCCTAAGAATACCCTTCTTTTTTGGCAATTCAGGACCACTTGTAGTGGATTTTCCACGTGTTGTTTGAGTATTTTTCCCTGCCAAAGGGTTTCTAATTCTTACTTGATGTTGCACCTGATGTGGGGATTGGTTCGCGGAGTGATTTGCATGCACGGGTTGCATGGGGGTGGGCCCCTCAAGAACCACAATACTTCCTCCAGTATTAGGAATAAGCCCGTTTTGACTTGGCATATCCTCTTGCGTATTTTTTCCAGAAATTATAGTTTCCTTCCCTGTTGTCACTTTTGAAGCTGTGTGATTGCCTTGTTTGGTCTTCTGGACATAATTGTTACGATTCGTTTTCTTGCCTTTTTTGACCAACATCCATGGCCCATACATATCCTCTGAATCATTCGAAGCTTTGGACTGATCAACCTCTGAAGGTGGAGTTGCACTTTGATTCATAGAGCCTGTACGGGTAGCAGTACCCATAGTTACGTCTTGGTTCCTTGCATCATCCTCCATCACATTTTCACCTACCTTTGCGCCTTCCTCACCATTAACAGGATGGTGATCCATACCTTCTCCGCAAATGTCTTGTCTGTGGCCATATTTTCCACATCTAAAACAAATCGAATGTAGTCCTTCATATTCTAGTTTGATTATGTGTCCCATCACATTTATCTTAGACACTAGTTTCTTTCTCAGGTTAACTTCTACGCATATTCTGGCGAATTTTCCCCTCGAGTGTATAGATGTCAATTTATCAATCTTAAGCATAGTGCCAAGTTTGCTACCCACACGCCATAAGAAACGATCGTTGTAGAGTTCGATAGGTAGGCCTGGAATCCTGATCCATGCAGCAACATTCCTTGTTTGGGAAGCCGTTATTGTGAAAAAAGGTCTCCAACGTTGAACTAGTATGTAGTGATCCGCAATCATCCAAGGGCCCTCATAAAGAGCATGACGATAATCTTCTTCTGCTGAGAATTGCACCAGGTAGTAATCATTGGGCATGTCAATAATCCTAGCTGATCCAGATCTGACCCAATCACGATTGATTTTATGCTCAATAGCTTTGAACGAGATTCGCTTCCCCAGAACATTGATTACTAAAGCATTCTTCCAGACTGAGCACCATTCCTCAAATTCATCTTGTGAGACATTAATAGTTGGGCACGGGTCAAGGTCTTATTCGTTGATGTCCTGCGAGTCTGTGTTAGCAGAGAATCTGTCATCAAACTCCTCCATCTCCTTCAGTAAGCTATGGTAGTCGGAAAAAATTTTCCCTCCTCCAGTGGACAAGACGCTCTCAGCATAAGATTTCTTATGGTCACTGTTTCCATGACTCTCAGCGTCATGGTCTTCCATGGTGTCATCCAGTTGTTCGTCCACGATTATATCATCAGTAGCCTCCTTCGTTTTGACCTTCTTAGTGCATCTACGCTCCATATTATCCTTCTCTCCTTCAGAAACCCTAGCAGAGCTCTCCATGTAAATTATTTGTTTTTTTTTTGTTTTTTGTTTTATTTTATATTATCATGCGAAAGAGAAACAGAAACTTCGTGTTTCATTATGTTTATTTTAGAAAACAAAATAATAGAAATTAAATGATAGTGCCATCGTGGATGATTGTATTTGAAATTGAGTAGTTTATAATAGTTATAAGAGTACATTAGTCTTAAAAAAACAAAAAGAGAGAGACAAAAACAGTTATACAACAAGATTGACTTAAATAGTTTTCTTTTTTAAGAAGAAAGAAATAACATGACATTCTATTTTATGAATAACAACACCAAATTTATAGTATATCAAAATTGTCCTTGTTTTGGATTCTCATAGGTCAATCTTTTTTAGTTTTTTTTTATTATTTATTTTTTACTTCTTCCATATATACAATTAGGTTGGTTTTCTACTTTTCTGTATCCCAAAACAACGATAGCATCGAGGAGAAGAGCTTCGGAAGTGGAAATGAGCTAATATGTCTTTGCTAAAACAATGGGCTTCGCAAAGGCCCAATAAGGCCCACGCAATTCAACAATATATAGTGACTTCAGCGGTATCTTAGATTTGACACGTTTCTAGTTTGAAGAAGAGCTTAACAGCAGCAGAAGAAACTCGGAAGAAATTAGAATGGCCAGCTTAGACGAACGTCCTTCTGCGAAAAGGTGGCTTCCTCTCGAAGCTAACCCTGACGTCATGAATCAGGCATTCTCTCTTCTCCTCTTTCTTTATCATAGGGCAAAATGTTTCCATTATTATGCCTCGGATTATGATCGTGTATTCATTGAACCCATACTCGTATCACAAATTTTGCAAAATAGTTTCTCTCTTTCATTTTGGATTTGCAGTTTTTTTCTTCTTCTCTTCTCGCATGCATAATTTAAGTGTTTCCGGTGAATTGCAGTTCCTTTGGGGTCTTGGCCTTCCGGTGGATGAGGCTGAGTGCTGTGATGTTTTTGGCTTAGACGAAGAGCTTCTGGAAATGGTTCCGAAGCCAGTTCTTGCTGTGCTTTTTCTTTATCCCCTTACCGCAAAGGTTAGTTTCTAGTTTCTACACACAAAACATGTCACTTTTTTATTTATTTATTTTTAATTTCTACTGTCATGTCATATTCAAATATGTTGCTTCTGATTTTGTGAAGCTTTTATTATATCTTATCAGAGTGAAGAAGAGAGGTTGCAACAGGAAAAAGAAAAAAAGGTGAGTGGATATGTCTATTTATAGCGTGTTTTTATCTATTTGTGACCATTCGTTTTTCCTGATTCAAAGAATTGTGCATTCTGTTTGACTTTAGTTTATTATTGATTATTAATTATAGGACCGTTTGACAAGCTTAATTGACCATTTTATTAAACAATGTCCAATAATCTGAATTTAAGGTAGCATATATCATATAATTTATCATTTAACTTCATGCCTTGAGTAGGAATTTTTGTTGTTCTGGTGTAGGATTATAGCAGTAAAGTGTATTTTATGAAGCAAACCGTGGGTAATGCTTGTGGTACAATAGGGCTGCTTCATGCACTTGGAAACATAACTTCCGAAGTTAAGCTTGGTAGGTATTCAACAATCTCACAGCCTCGGTAAAATTTTTAGTCATCAACAATTAAATCTCATTCATTCTGTGTTGTTACCAGCTGAGGGGTCTTTCTTTGATAAGTTTTTCAAATCTACTGCAAGCATGGATCCAATGCAGGTTATTTATTTCTTCCTACCTGAACCTCCTCTCTTTCTTTATCATATTTCATATGTTTAATCAACTGACACTATTGGTCAGTTATAATGCTCATTTGACTTTTTCTAATTTGTATATTGCAGCGGGCTGTATTTCTTGAGAATGACAGGGAGATGGAAGTTGCTCATTCAGTAGCGGCCACTGCTGGCGATACAGTGGTACTTTTATTTATTAATTTTTAAAGCTACAATAAATTTGGGGGTGGGGGTTGTTATGATGTGATGTATTAGTGAAACAGAAAACAAATGTAGTCATGAAAGGTTCAGTTTGACCTTCTTATCTTGATAATCTTGTTAGTTGTTTGTTGTCATCATTATTCTTTGGATGTGATAAACTGATACTTAAGCAGGGACTTTTATATGACATACTACTAGTAAAGTATCCAGTTCAGATTATTACTATTACTACAGTTAAGGGTGGAGAATTGGAAGTTGGAGGGTTGTTATATGACGAGTAATCCTGGGAATTATATTTGGTCTTTTAGACAAGAGATTTGAACCAATGCTCAAATTTAAGTTGTTAGGTAACTGAGTTTGTACGAATATGTTTCTTTGAGAACTTATCAAAAACAAATGATCATTTAACTTCACAGGAGATATAAAATTATGAGCAGATACCAATCCATTGGAGTCAAACCCTGCCTTTTCTTAGTTTTATGACTTAGGCCAAGGGATTTGCTTTAATGAGCCAAAGAGGTCTAAGAAGTTTATTTCTATAGTACAAGTAGCTGCAATTGTAAAATTTTCAAAGTGATTTACATAAGTTGTTAGTATATAGCAAATTCAGACCATAATGTGAACCTGATGTTTTTGGTGACTAGCTTTAATGAGTTTGGTAGAAATAAAGAAGCTAAATACTGAATTTTATGGCAATATGCAATCTATTCCAGTATTTGATGCATTTGGTTAAAGCGTATTGATCCTATTTTTAAGGAGGTTTCTTTGGTTTAGTAACTTATTGGGATTATTGGGATAAAATTAGGCAATTGGCTTCTATTTGGTGTGAAGAACATGATCTTTTTGATGGTGGTATCTTAACAGATATATGGAGGGATTGGGAAGCTTTGAACTTTGATGTTCTCTCTTTTCCTTTGTAGTTTTAATTTTTCATTATGGAGGATCCCTTATTCTTCAAATTTCTTTGTAATATTCTCCTCTTGATCTTAGTGATTTTCTAGAGGGCAAGTGCTGGTGCAACAGTAAGGTTTCTGCCTTATGATGGGGAGGTTACAGGTTCAAACCTTGGAACAATCTTTTCACTTGTGGGGTTAAGGCTACATACATTTACCTTCCTCAAACCCCATTAGGTGGAAGCCTTATGCACTGGGCAGTGTTTTTTTCATCCAAATGAATTTCTTTTATATATAAAAAAGCAAGTGAAAAATTATACATAGACCAAAAGACTAAAATAATGATGCTGCATTAAGGAGAAAAAGCATTTTTATTTTTTATATGAAAAAAAATACTTGAATCATCTTGCCATGCAACTTTTTTGTGTAGATGGAGCAAAATGAATGAAAAATATACTTGATCTGCTGCTCAATACTAATAGTACATGTGTTGGTCGTTGGAGGGTTTTGCAATTGTTTGGTAGCAGATGATCAATGAAAACATCACACAAGTTGAAAGCATCCGGGAGTAGGTCATTGTTTAGACTTTTTCTTGGATAGTTCATAAATTGTATCCATCAGAGGAGGGTAAAGAAGGTCCCAGTTACCTGTTGAATGAGTTTTAGATAACCAATGGTATTTGAGGAGAGCAATTCTGGTAAAATTTAAAGCCCTTTCATCTAACATATGTGGAAAGTTATTTTTCATGATGTGAGTGAAGAATTATCAGCTTCTGTCTGTCTGTCTTCCATACTACATAGATTATGTTGTATATGCTAAGTTCAACAAGCTGGTAATATAAATTACTGAGGTTTTAGGAGATATAATTGTCAAAGTGTTCTTGTATATTAATGTTGTTATACTGAGGCAAAACTTGCATAGTATTGTAAACGTACATAACAACCCGTCCCCCTTACAATAATAAAATTTTTCAGTTTGTTTCCTTTCTTGTCTTACAATTTTATTGTTTAAAATATTTATAATGCAGGCATCAGATAATGTGGACACTCATTTCATCTGCTTTTCTTGTGTGGATGGTAATTTCTTTATGTAACTGATTAATGTTTTTTTTCTGTATGGTGGTTGTAAAAAGAGCAAAACAATATTCCTAGATGTAATTGTATCACCAACAATATTGTAAGCAACTTAAATATCTAATTCATGTCTAGATCAAATTTTTGTTCTCCTTTTACAGTTTACTTGATTTTTTCTGAGTAATTTCTCTGCAATTGTATAATTTGCAGGTGAATTGTATGAACTTGATGGAAGAAAGTCAGAACCAATATCTCATGGTCCATCCTCACCAAGTACTTTGTTGAGGGTAAATATCTTTCAATGTTAAGGGTATAGTTGTATTGCTCTTTAAAGACATGTATTTAGTAAAAGAATATGATTTGGTTTGCAAATGCAAGTAGTTCTGTTGTCACTTATGAATTTAAATGATGGATGAAGAAACAATAACCACGATTGTGTATGGAAGTGGCTTTGGCATTAGGGTCGTCTTAGTAGTGAGGGGTTGGATGAGTATGCACACAGTCCTAGATTTGAACCTAGTTATCACTGTAATTCTTACTAATAAGAAAAAAAGTGGCTCGGGCATTGGAGCACCAACCTTTTAGGAAAAATATTACAGATAGTGTATTAAATTTGAGTTTGTACTTTGTAAATTTAGTGAACAAAGATTCTTTAGAAAGATATCCTACTTATTGCTTACGGAGAATACATAATTTATACAAAATAGGCATAGGCTAAAGCAACCCTAATCATATAAGGTAAAATGGAAAGA